GGTTTCTATTTGGTGGATGGTGGGTGTGGGTTGTTGGTTGATGAGGTTGGGTTAGGATGAAACGGTCTAAAAACATGTGAACATATTAGGAAAGAATCTATTGAGGACTGTGTTTATTAAAGCTGAGACAATCTATGAAATGCCATGTGAATCTATCCTAAAAGAATTTATTCAGAAACATGTAAATTTATTCAAAGCTATGTAAATCTATGTTAAAACAATCTATCCAAAACCATGTCAGTCTATTCCAAAACAATCTATCTAAAACCACATAAATTTATCCTAAAGCAATCTATCCAAAACCATCTAAATCTATCCCAAAGCAATCTACACAAAACCATGTGAGTCTATCCCAGATCAATCTACCCAAAGCCATGTAAATCTATCTGAGGGTTTGTGTATTTGATGAGGTTAGGTTAGATTTTGGAGGTTAGGAGATTTAGGTTGTTGAGGTCATTGTTTATAATCTCCAAAATCTGACCTATAACCATCAAGCAAACAGACCATGACGATAAAGCATACTGAAATATTTATATTTTTAAATTTAAAAATTTATCCGAGTAACCATCACAAGGGATAATAATAATTGAAACGTTTTTCAGAATTTTAAAATTTATCCAAGCAACCATCGCGGAGGTTAAGAACAACTCAAACGTTTTTCAAAATTTTAAAATTTATCCAAGCAACCATCACGAAGTATAAGAATAATTCAAACATTTTAAAAAATTTTTAAATTTTCCAAGCAACCATCGTGAAGAATAAGAACAATTCAAACGTTTTCCAAAATTTTAAAATTTATCCGAGTAACCATCGTGAAGAATAAGAATAATTCAAACGTTTCTCAATATTTTTAAATTTATCCAAGCAACCATCAGAAAGGATAAGAATAATTCAAACATTTTAAAATTTAAAAATTTTTCAATACAAATTATAATATATAAAATAGTTGTAGTCGTAACGTATCGAAGTCCGCGCGAGGAAGCGAAGGTTGAAACTGGTTCTCATAATGGTACCGTCGAGGAAGTGATGAGAACTCGAGAGATAATCCGTAACTCCCTTTCATGGATGCGGTTAAGGTTTATTCTGGAAACTGGCGGAGTGCCACGCTCGCGGCACTAAACTTCTCGCGGAATCGGAAGGCTTCTGCAGCAAGTTTCCAGTACAGGATGTAGAATCGGGAACAATGTGGAACTTCCTTTCCCCCAGTTTCTTTCTTTGTCCCTGTCTTCGTTATTTCCAGCTACCTCCTTTATCTTGTTCCCCTAATTCCCTGTTTCCTCTTGTCTCCGTGTTACTTTATGATTTTTGTATTCTTGTTTCTGTTTTGTGATATTGTTATTCACATGTGAATTAAGGGAAAGAGGTTAAGAATAATTAAGTATAATATTTTCGTTTCTGTTTTGTGATATTGTTATTCACATGTGAATTAAGGAAAAGGGATTAATAATAATTAAGGTGTTATATTCTTGTTTCTGTTTTTATGATATTGTTATTTACTTGTGAAGTAAGGGAAAGGGATTAATAATAATTAAAGTATAATATTTTTGTTATTGTTTTTTTTAATTATTATTTACATGTGAATTAAGGAAAAGGGATTAATAATATATAAGGTGTTTTATTCTTGTTTCTGGTTTTGTGTTATTTACTTGTGAATTAAGAGAAAGGCACCAGTAACTGATTAGTAATTGACAATTTGGTTGAATATGTAATATTTTGATGTAAAGATGAATATTTCATAACTTGAAATATTTACTGTGCTACTGAATTAGATTTTAATTTTTAAATTAAATAATTAATTTTCGAAAGCCACTGTACCTTCTATTTTTATTTACAACTATACCCATAATAAACTAAAAACTACTGTATTTAATAAATTAACAATCTCAAATAACCTAAATTATTACTATTATCATTATTATTATCACAATCTAAGAACTTTTGAACGTCACTGTAGCTTACATTTTTATTTACAACTCCACGCATGATAAACTGAAAATTGCTCTGTATATAATAATCTAACAATTTCAAACATCATATATTATTATTATTATTATCACACTCTAAGGACTTTTGAACCCCACTGTACCTTTTACTTTTATTTACAACTCCATCCATTACAAAATAAAAACTACTGTGTATAATAACCTAACAATCTCAAATAGCATAATTTATCATTATTACTATCACAATCTAAAAACTTTTGAATCCTACTGTACCTTCTACTTTTATTTACAACTCCACCCACGATAAACTGAAAATTTTGGAATCAACGTTCTGCCTAAATCTCTGAAATACAAGTTCTCCCATCACTCTGTGTATAATAATCGTCGAAGGAAAATAACGTTTCATTATCCGGGACACTTTGAATAATTATGCATTAGTATTCAGAAGGGTTGAAGACAGAGAAGGAAAGAGGCAGATGTTAGAGGCGAGGGAATATAATGTCAGTGGAGGGGGAACACAGTTCTGCCGCCCAGCTTCTCGAGCGTTTGCCCTTCGCCTTCCGACTCAACCAAGATCGTCGCCCAGCGTATTATCCGCCAACCCCAGTCTAAGTCAGTTCAACCGTGATGGCGGACCTCTGTTTCCCATTTTCATTAACACATTCGGGACCGGTGACGCAGCTCTACGTCATCTTGGATTCCTCTGATGAGATGGTGATGTGTCTTACGTCATTGTTTATTTTCTTGAGGAGAATGAAGGTTACGTGGCCCTATGTCATTTTTAATTTTTTTTTATTAAAAAAAATGGCGATAATGTAGTCGTACGTCATTTTTTATTTTTTTTAGAAGAATGAGAGTTACGTGGACCAACATAAGTCATCTTTAATTTCTTTCAGGAAAATGGCGATAATGTAGCCCTACGTCATTTTTAATTTCTTTGACAAGAATGACAATTACGTGACGTACGTCATTTTAAATTCATTTGGAAATGACGACGTGGTTTCACGTCATTTTTAGTTTTTCTGAGAAAATGGTGAAGGTAATCAAACCTCAACATCCAAGAATCTAACCTAAAATCTTGCCGGCAAAATAAATATAACCTCAAATAAACATTCCGTTGTCACATTACCCTACTAACTTGAAACTATTTTGGAAAACAGATGCTCATTGCCAAAAAAGCCACGACAATTCCCCATTTCCAACATTAATTAACTATTCCGAAAATTACCTTGAACTTCCAAGAACCTAACCTCAAATCTTCCCAAAAGCAACATAACCTCAAACAAACCATCCCGTACCACATAAAAAGAACTTTCCCCACTCAATTTCGCAACAATACTCTAAAAACTAGGTTAGACCTCTCTCACACTCATTACTCGATGATTAAAAAACATTATCAAAGCATTTACGTCACGCTATCTGTTTCATTGCAGGGTGTTCCGCGGCGAGTTCGGAATCGCGACGAGCACTCGCAGGGTTGTCGAACCGCCGCGTCGCTGGAAAACCCGCGAGTCCCCGTAATTCCAGGGTACGGATGCAAAAGAAGGTACAAGAATAATGAGGATCGTAAAACGCGGCCTCGCTCGCGGAGCCGTTAAAATACGACGACAACCGGGAGAAAAACGATGTTTAAAGAGTCACGCAGCCGGGCCGGCGTGAAAATAAAGGTGGCAGGGTCGTTGCCGAGTAATGGTCGGGTCACGAGTGGCGAACAGCATTATTAACGCCGATAATGGCCGTTGGCGCACTTAGCTAAACGCCGAGGCAGAGGCCCCGGAATTTTTCTATTGCACTCCAAGTCGGCGCGGCCGCTACAAT